CCCCCCCACCTTTCCCCGCCTTTCCCCCACACCCCCAGCAGTTCACATGACATGAAGGCCCAGCACAGAGAGTTCTTTCACGGAACATACGTGTTTTCTGTCTGTGCCCCGCAAGGACTTGGCCCCGTAGTACAGGAGGGTGGATCCTGAGAGTATGACCCAGTACCTGGTCCATGAAGACAGCTAGGGAGGAAGGGGAGGCAGAGTGACAATGTCGTAAGCGGCAGGGGCGGCGTCCCCGGGCTGCCTGATTAGAGACCCAGGCACATGGATGGAAGGGCGGCCCCTCCTCAAGAGGGGCCAGCGTAGGTCTCCCCTCTTCCCCGCCCTCCACCCCTCGGTGCCACTCCTCCGGGGCCCCAAGCAGCCAGCGGGACTCCTCAGCAGATCATCAGCCCCAGACCTCCCTCCCCTTCCTGGCTCCTTTCCTCCCAGAGCCTTTCCTTTTCCCACCATGTTTAGTGCCAAGGCACAACTTCTATGAGTTCAGGTGACCCGAATCCAAGAACGTCCTGGGGAAAAATGGACAAGTAGAAACCACAGCTTGGAAGAATTGGAACGTCTGTGATGGGCACTCTTGGCTGAGAGCGAATGGCAGCACCTCGAAAGCATTTATGGCTAGAAGGGGTGATGCCCGGCAGGGCCAAACTGGTGGTGTAGCTTTTGTTTCTCTAGGCATAAGGCCTGGAATCCCTGGTTTGGGGCTCCACTCATTGGTTTGGAAAAGCCAGTTCTGCAAAAGCGAAGCAAATATCCCATTGCGGAAGGACAGGGGCTCAGCAGATGGCCCAGCATCACAGCCTGGGGGGCTCCTCTTCATGCTGGTAGGGGTGGGTGTGCTGCGTCGTCTCAGATGATGAAAGCAGTGGCTTTCAGACCTTTTTGATGACACCCCCGCCAGGTGGTCATGGTATTGTATGTTGAACCAACAGAAGCTTCATGAAACCATATGCATCTGTATCATGTGTAAAAAACTCCAACATCTTCCAGTCTATTCTATTCAAAACTATGGGTCATGACCCCCTGGACTGACTTCATTGCTTTACCAGTGGGCCAACCAGCGTTTGGGACAACAGTGCTTTTAGGATATTGTCTCGCTCTGGTTTCTGGAAGACTGGGGCCTGGCTGTAGGTACAGAAGGGTGGCAAGCAGGTCTGTACAGCAGACCAGATACAGGACCTCATGTCACAGGATGCTGCGTGACACTGAGTCCAAGGGACAGAGTGTGGCCCAGGGCTGGGGTGAAGATGCTTCTCCTCACCCAAGAACCGCCTGGTACCCGAAGATGGGGAGCTTTTAGACCGGCCCCCGGACTAGGGGCCTGGCATCTTCATGCTGGGCATCAGTGGGAGGGAGCGTCTCCAAGTGGCCTCTTGGGCAGTGGACGGGGGCAAGCAGCAGCCGGAGCAGGAGAGGGAGGCCAGAGCGGACACCAGCAGATGCTGCCTGGAGACGCAGCTCACAGGCGGGTTTGCGGGCAGCTAGTCATGGCTGTCCCAGAGAATGAACAAAGAGGCCTTTGCAAGGGGCTGAGGGGTCATGGAGCCAGGGACCTCTGGGTTCGGCACGGGGTGACCTGGTGGCTAGTGCTGGAGCCTGAGAGGTCTCTCGATCCCTGGTCCCTGTCCTTTCCACCACACGTTTCATGATGCTCCTGAGCGGGGAGGGGATCTGCATTGGCAATACTTCCCAGGCCATGCTGACTGTTTCAGGCACAGCATCCACCCTGACTCCCGGGGCCTCCAGGCTTCCACCTGCCCTCAAGATAATCACACAGCGACATCCACCGCCTGTTCACTCTGTGCAGGGCCATACACATGACCTTCCCGCCCAGTCCTCCAGGAAGTAGGGACTATTTTATCCCAATTTACAGATGTGGAAACTGAGGCCCTGCCCACCCTGTGGTGTGGCCAGGGCTGGGACCCTGGTTGGCCGGTCTCTGGAACCCACGCCCTCCCTGCCGCCTCTGCACTCACCGCAGGCTTCCGTCCCTCCTTGAGCAGAGTTTTCCTTCTCAGAGGCCCCTCCATGGTGGGGGCTGCCGCAGAGCTCCCCAGCGTACAGATGCATGGGCCGGTGGGGCTGGGCAGGGGGAGCACACGGGTCAGACATCACCCAGAGGAGCTGGGGACAGGCACCCTCTCACCCATGGGGCCCACGGGCCCCTGACTGCCAGGTCCAGGTCCAGAGACCGAGAACTCAACAGGGGTGAGCCGAGCCCAGGAGGGAGGGCTCTGAGGCCACAGAGAGCCTCAAGGAAGCCGGCTCTGGGCTCGCCCACAGCTTGGAATGTGCCTTTCCTTTGTCTTTCTGAGCGCTGAGCAGCTCTAGGCTTGGGGACCACGCTCGCTCCCTGTAACCCAGCTCCTAGCATCACCCACACTGTATCCTGCTTCCTCTCCCCCTGCACACGGTCTCTTGGGACCGTGCAGCACCCTCTCCTCTCAGTGAGGAAGTAGGAGGGAAGGGGGTGGAGTAAGAAGAGGGCGGGGTGGGTGGGGGGACCCTAAATCCTCCTGCCCTGCACCTTTGCCTCAGGGCGCCTCCCTCCCCCTCTGCCATGGGGATTCGGGCGCCACCTGCAGGTGAGGAGCCCCAGTGCAGCGCCAGCCCAGGCCTCCCTCCTAAGCCCTGGCTTCGGCTCCCTGGATGGCACCTCCCTCAACGCCGCACTGAAGCTGAGCTGCTTTCCCTTGGCATCCCAGAATCAGTGATCCCATGCCCTAAACATGCCCGACTGCCCAGCTCAGCCACCCCACCCCCCACCTTATGGCAGAACTTGGTCATCCTTTGAGCAACTGCCCGACCCTCTCCTCTGGCCTCCCTGCGTCCACTCTTGCCTTCCTCCCAGGCTCTCTGCACACCACAGCCAGGATGACCTGGGTCCTGCCACTCCCCTGCCTCTCCATCCCTCCCCCATGCAACCCCTCCAGAGCCTCTGAGACCACCCTCCTCACCGCCTGCTGGACCTGGCTCTGGTCCACCTTCTCTGGCCTTACCTGCCGCCCTTTCCCATCTCTCACTTAATACAACTCGGGCCCTCCTCCACTCCCGGAATCACCCTGCTCCCCCTGCCTCCCGGCCCCATGGGCTGTCCTTGGGCTGCAGGTCCTCTTTTACCCCAACGCCTCCCTTCCCTTTATCTGGCTAGTTCCTATCACTCTTCCAGTCTTTTCTGCAGGGAGGCCCCCTCTCTGGACCAGCAGCAGCTGTGATTTTCTATTCCATTTCTGTCTCAGCCCCATGGACCGAGGCAGAGGCTGTGTCCGTCTCATGGGCAGCCTCGAACACAGTGCCTGGCGCCCAGCCAGCACCCTGGAACTACTTGTCGAGTAAATGATCACATGAATAAATGAGTACCTGTAGACGCAGCTCCGGGTTCTGGGAGAATTCCGGACTGGAACGCGCCAGTTGGGTCCCAGCGTGGCATAGAGACGTCCCCTGCTTCAGAGGAAAAGAGCTGAGTTTTAGCAACAGCCTGGGAAGACGAGCCCCTCGTGGAGGAGGTGAGGGCATCTCAGACCATGTGGTCATGAGCTCCGGAAGCCTCAGCCCCAACTCCTCCCCTGGCCTCCTCGTTTACACTGCAACACATCCGGGGTACACCTGGAGCACAACATCCTTGGAGTCCCCATCGGTTGGGTCCCCAAGTCTCCAGGTAAGTGCTTCCTCAGCCTTAAGTGTTCAGCTTTCTTCCAGCGACAAGGGGATGACTAAAATCTGGGTACACCCCTCACCCCAATGTGAGGTTGAGAGAAAACACTGTGAGTGAGTGAGTGAGTGTGAAAGTCGCTCAGTCGTGCCTGTATAGTCCCAATATTCCATGGTCAATCCAATTAAAACTGTATACTCATGGACACAGAACTGTGGGCTGTCTTGCATGTTGGCCCAGGGTGGAGGGGGTGGGGCATGTGTAGCATCAGTATCCACCAGGTGCTACTGAATTCCTCTGTTTGCTGCATCTTTTCCATCGGACAGGCTCCTTGCTGGCCCCAGACGGTCCCCTGCAAACCTGCTCTGGATCCGTTTCACGGTCTAAGAGTTGGTGCTCCAACTCTTAGAGAACCCTCCGTGGGCTCCCATCTGGCCTCTTTCTCCCCCAAAGTTCCCCTGCAGTGAGCCTTTCCAGGGGAAGGTGTAGCCTCCAGGGCAGGTAGGGAGCTTATCTTTTTGGGGGTAAGGTTTCCATCTTTCTCTCTTTATCCTTTTCTTTCTTAGTAGAATGACTTCCTGTGTCTACATGGTCCTCAACCTTCTCCCCATCTCTGCAGTACGGTCTGTGGCTGCTGCTGTTTAGTTGCTAAGTTGTGTCTGACTCTGTGACCCTGCGGACTGCAGCCCTCTAGGGTCCTCTGTCCGTGGGATTTTCCAGGCAAGAATATTGGAGTGGTTGCCATTCCCTTCTCCAGGGGATCTTCCCGACCCAGGGATCCAACCCCCATCTCCTGCTCGGCAGGTAGGTTCTTTACCACTGAGCCAGCAGGGAAGCCCACAGCATAGCCTGTCCCTGGGCTATAGCTCTCCATTGGCAGCTCAGTTTATAAAGTCAGACAAGGCCCACACTTCCTTTTTAACTGTTCCCTCTATGGTCCACTGCCAGTCCCAGGTTGCTGCACGTTGCCCTGTGGCACTGGACACCTGGGGGTGGTGTGGGGATGTCCTCACTCATCACAGCATCACACCCTCACTGAGCTCAGGTTTCTCTGAGGGGTAGCTGTGTTGCTCCCTGCCCCTCCATCCTCCGCTCAAGAAGGAACAGTTCTTAATGACATTCTTGGATTTGCTGTCCAGAGGCCCAAGTTCAAGGTTGGTGGGAGTCTGACGGTCATCCAGGTCAACTGCCCTGGGACCCTGTCTTCTTCGTCCATCAGCCACTTCTCTGTAGGTGACAAAGAGCTGCAGCACGTGCTCGGCCCCCAAGTCCTCAAGTGTAACGAGTCTCTGCCCTTTCCCCAGCCAACCCTCGTGATATGACAGTCACAGGCCCACCCCACCCCCACCATGAGCTCAGAGGCCCTGGCACCCTCAAGCCCCGGTCCACAGGTCAGAAGTGCCTCCTCTCTTTATTCACACCTGGGTGTGACACAGCCCTGTGCTTCAGCAGGCTGTGTGGAGGCTTAGAAACTGCCCTGGGCTTGCCTCTCTCCCCAGTCATGGCTGGGATCCCTTATGAGGCAGGGCAGGGTCTGACAGTGAACTTTTCTGCAGCGACACTCCTGTGCCTGGAGGATGCCTCTTGGTTTGATGTGCATTCCTGCTCTGAGCTGTAATCTCTCTGGAGTTGAAGATGGAGCCTCCCTTTGCAGAGCTGGATCCTCTGGCCCCTTCTTCTCCACATTTCTTCTCATGAATCTTTGCTCCCGGCACCCCAGGAAAATGTGTGACAACAGTGGACTGTTCCAAGACAGGATCATGTGCTGGTTGGTGCTGCCGCCTTCTCTCCCCTTTTGTGAGACAGTCCGTGGCTGGCAGGACTGACTATTGATAGAGAGCTTTAAGACCTCCATCCTCCCATGGACGGAGGAGCCCAAGTCTACAGTCTATGGGGTCACAAAGAGTTGGACACGACTGAGCGACTTTACTTTTTGTTCTACTTTAAGACCTGCATCTTCCAACCAGTCTAGCCTTCTAAGCAGTCTTTCCTCATGTTCTTCCTGAAGGAGTGAGGTGCCCCGGAGCACAGTGGACTGGCGGGATGTGCAGGGATGCCGGGGGTCACTGGGGTGGCTCATGGGAGAGTCACTAGTAAGTGACCGCTCCTGTGCATCAGGCCATTGATTCGCTCATGGGAGCTTTGTTTAAGCATCACTGAACGGGGACCTGAGGCTCAGTTATGTGAAGACACTGAATCGAGGCATGTTCAAAGCCAGGGTTGGAACCCAGGTCTGTCTGACTCTCCAGGCTCCTTCCACACTTTTCAGAGTGGGAGCCAGGTTGAGTTGTCACATGTGGAGGAGTTCGTCAGGAGGACTGAGTCTGTGTTTGGAGCCTGTGGGTGGCTCCCTGGTCTTCTGTTCTCAGAGGCACCAATTCTTGCAAGTTTCTGTCATAGCACACAGTGAACAGACTCTGTCAGTGTCTGTCAGGTGGGATGACCACAGATCCTTAGCCCCTGGGTCTCCTGGGGTGGGGCCACCTCCCAGGTCCATTGTCCCCCCGCCCCGGATAGAGTCTTCTCCTGGTGGTTCAGGCTGCCTGGCACTTAAGAGCAGCTGCCTTTGATCGCCTGCTTACCATGAGATGGCTGAGTGCTCTCAGACCCTGCTCCTCCCAGTTCTGTGGCGGGGGGGTGGGAAGGCCACCGTTCTCACCCTGTCTTAGATGAGGAAACTGGGGCTCCAGGAGGTGAAGCCACCTACTGGCCTGTCATTAGGGATGGGGACACACGTGCTCACAAAGGGAGGATGTCTTTCCCACAGGAAGCCGGGGGCCCCTGTCGGTTAAGTTGCTCCAAGTCAGGGGGTGGGCGTCAGAGCCCACTCTGCCTAGAACCTGGGGAATGACTGTGGCCTTGAAGGGCAGTGGAATGGTGACTTTTTGCCAAGGCCAGCTTTTAGGAGACTAGAAGCAGGGTTGTGGCCGGCCTTTCCTCCCAAAGCAAGCCTTGCCAGGCTGGAGGAGGGCTGTGACACGTGGGGTGGCTCTGGCTGGGTCTAGCAGAGAAGAGCCAAGATCTTTAGCCACTGGAACCAGACCTTCTGATCACATCCCTGCTCTGAGAATGTTATTTGAATGTTCAGGACCAGAAAATGCAAAACGAGTGGGCAGTGGTATTTGGTGAACTCCAGAAATCATGGGACATCTCCAACTGACACAGAGAGCTCCCAACTCTAGAATCACAGACACCTTTTCCAGCAGCACGCTGAGAACAAGTGGCTGAACAGAATGCATCCCAGGAAGGCCATTCTGTGGGTCCCTCTTGGGGACAGATCTTGGTGGGATGGAGGCCTGCGGTAGGCCACCTTCCTCATGGGAAGTTTGGTCTGGGAAATATGTGGGCTTGCGACCAAGCAGAACCTCAGTCCCAAAGGGTATTCAAGAAGATGCCGATGAAGAGGAGGAAGATAAAGATGATAGGATGATGGTGAGGATGAGGATGATCAGATGATGGGATGATGGTGATGACCTGGAAGATGGGTACCAGGCAACTGCTAAGCAGTCCTGGGTCATTATCCTGTTTTATCACAGCACTGTGTGGCAGGCACTGTTCTTATCCCCGCCTTATAGATAAGGAGTCTGAGGCTTAGAAAGGTGGAGTAACTTGCCCAAGGTCACAACACTGGGAAGAGAAAGATGGGAAGTGCCAATGAAGTGGAAGCAGCCAGGGGCCTGCTTGGACCAAGAGCATCCTGAGAATTCAGAGCGGCCAAGACAGGTCTGAAAGGCACCTTCCCCTCAACATACATTAGGTAGTAGGTATCTCAGGGGTTAAATTTCATAAAGCTCTGAGTCCCTGTTGCTGGTCCAGGAAAGGGGAGCAGGGTGGAGCCTTGGATAACAATTACACTGAGGCCTCAGTAATCTTGTTTTAGCAGACGTAGCACGCACCCCACCCCCTCAATTCTTCTATCTCAGGTACACAGAGATGCTGGTCGAGTGTTCCTGTGGAAGGCTCCAGGTGATGCAGTTCATCAGCAGTGTCCACCTGCACCAGTAAACCCTTGCCCACTGGACCAAAGCTTGGTCCCAGCCACTTCCTAATGACTCATCCTCATCTGCAGGCAGGAAGCTGCCTTCTTGAGTCTGCCCAGCCATGCTAAGGACCACACATATCCCCCAGCTGTCAGTCCCCTGGAGGGAACCAGCAGCAGGCTCTCTGCTCTGCAGGCTTTTTGTAACTCTCACCAAGCAGAGATGCTGAACCCCGACACACAGGCACCATGAGATACCTCATGCTCCCTGGATGATGGTCACAGTGTCCCCCAGCCCCTGGGGTTTTCTTTCCACCAAGAGGCACTAACCAAGCTTGGGCAAACCAGCTAGAAGCCCACCACTGCCTCCCTGTCCTTCCCTGCATGCCTCCTCCATCAGCTGCTGAGCCCCAGAGACCTGTCAGCAGTACACGGGTGATGCAGCCACGGCCACCCCAGCCCTTCCTGAGCCCGTGCCAGCCTGAGGAGGGGGTACCAGTCTGGGAGACCAAGAGTGCCCATCAGCAGCTCCCAGACAGGCAGGGGAGGCCCGGGTGGGCTGGCATCCCCAGCAGCTCTTCAGCCCCGCCCCATGCTCAGTCCTGCCCCGACCCTGGTGTTGGGGGCTCACGCGGTCACCCACTTGTTGCCCAGGCTGAGTCCTCTGGGCCCTGGGACATCCCTTCCAGCAGTTTTTGTTAAGGGACTTTTGCTGCCTGGGAATCACATTCTTCTCTGGGCAGTGTCCCTGATCCACTGAGTGGGTCCCTAGGAGCTGTATTTGTACTGGATGCTTAAGTAAGGGGACAGAACAACCCCTGATCCAAGCCAGGTCAATCAGGTTTTATCTCTGGCAATGAGGAATCAGATAGGAGAGGCTGACAGTCAGGCTCTGCAGCTCGGTGAAGCTCTAACATGTAAACTTGGGAGCTAAGAGGTGTCCCCAGTGTGAGGTGAGAGGTCTAGAAGTCTGGGCTGCAGACAGCGGAAAGCACAGTAGATATGCACAGAGAGGAGTAACGCGAGGTGGAAGGAGGGGCCTGCCCACCTCGCAGGTCCCGACCCTCAGGGGCTATAAGTGCTGGACACAGAGGTCATGGGCAGAGATTTTTCAGCTACCTGGGAAGCTGCAGCAGCTAGCTGGCAGGGCCCAGCCCCTGTCTGTCAGGGCCCAAGGACAGGGTCAATCAAAAGGCCAGGGACTCTGCCCACTCTTTTCTCCCAGAGGGGCCTGAGCTCCTGGGTGGAGACTTATTTACCAGACTTCAGTTCCTGACGCTGAGAGTAAAGCAAGAGATGGTGCCTTCGGGGGGAACCAAAATCAGAAGCTTGGCCCATCACCCAGCTGGGCTGCCACCCAAGGCAGAGCAGCAGGATGGAGGCACAGAGTGGGATGGACCTGGGAAACCAGACTGAGGGGTGAGCAGGTGAGGGACACGAGCCTCCGGGGGGCCACTGGGCCTCAGCCACAGGGCGACGGGGTGGGGCTGGGTGGGGCAGCGAGGCCCTTGGTGAGAGTCATCCTGAAAACACCACCCTTATGCTTGCACTTCAGTTAAAGTGGATCCCTCGCCTCCAGGATCACCCCCCAGAATCTTGCCTCCCTCTCCCAACACATGGCAGAGTTTGGGGCCCAAGAGGCAGCCCTGAACCCTGGTCCATCCCAGGGCATCTGCCAGAGTCCCCTGACCTGCTCCAGGAGGGAGAGGAGTGCTCTCAGAGGCTCTGCCCTGGGGATGGCAGGCCTGAGGCTCTGATGCCATGATTCCATTTTCCGGGGGTTTCCCAGAGGATGCGGGAGATTTCAGAGGCTAAAGAGAGTACGAGGCAGAATCTGCATTACAGCATCTCCTCTACACCCCAGAGCACCCGTGGCCCGAGTGTCGACAGCCCCCACTTACAGGTGTGACCCACAGTTCAGTCATCCCGGAGGCCAGCAGCCATGGTGGACACCTGCCTTCACGCAGTCCATCCATCCCAGGATGACTGAACTGCCACCTGGGGGACTCTCTCTTCACCCTACCCAGTCTTGGACTCCAGGATCGCTTGCTTGCTGGCAAGAGGTTCCTACTGAGTGAAGTTCATACACATCCCAAAGTAAGTTCCCTGACCAGAGCAACGTCACTTACATGCCCAGATCTTCCCATGAGCATCCTCCCTGTAGAGTTGGGGGCATCCAAGGCTCAGAGAGGTTGAGAGACATGCCCAAGGTCACTGAGAGCACAAGCAGCCCTGACCTCAGCCTCCCCCTCCCCCAACACAGCTGACAACCTCCAGAAGCCACCATGACCTCCCCCTGCAGAGGCACACCCAGAACTCCAGAGACCAGGTTCATCGCGGACCCTACCGCTCCTGCAGAGCCTCAGGGATGCTCAGCATCCCTGATGGAGGAGAGGCTACCTCTACTCCCAGGACATGGCTCAGGCCTCGCAGCCTCCCCAGGTCCCTCGACCCCCGCCCCCAAGGGCCCACTGTAGTCCTTTTCACTCGGTGTCCTTGGGCTTCTGCTGAACCATCACCTCTACAGAAGTCACCCCTGAAGCTGCCGTCTGACTCGATCCCCCTGCTAGACTTTGCCATCATGGCTTCTTCCCGACCCTCTGTGCACCTGGCGTGTTGACCAAATCTATCTCCCACCTTCCATGAGCTGTGACCATCCCCCTGCTGCAGCCTCCCCCTCCCCCAGAAGGCAGGGTTTGGGAGGGTGGCGGTGGCGGGGAGTGGGGGTGGTGGTCCAGTTTCCTCTCCTGCTCCCTTCCCCTCTCCCACCAGAGGGGCTTCCTCCAAGGACCCCTCTGCCTCCCAGGCTTTCCACCACCCAGATTTTGGCCAGTTCGTCCCGTGAGAAGGCTCTTCCTCACAGGCTAGAGGAGACAGGAAGCTGAGTATTTTGCAATGAACTTTGTGACCTGCTTTCCTATTTCACCCCTTAAAAGCTGACCCTTAAGCCTTTCTGATTATGTCCTATTTTAGAAAAGTTAAATGTTACTTTTTCCTGGGTGAAAGAGAAACATTTAGCACTTGTAGAATATTTGGAGACTACAGAAAAAGAAAATAAAGGAAAGAAACTCACTCAATAACTCTACAAGCAGAGATAACCAAGATGAATGATCCCATGCACTTTCTCTCTCTCTCTCTCACACACACACACACACACACACGTTCATCCCGTCATCCACTCTGCTTTCTCTAAAAGCCTCACTTAAGATGTTTAACTCCTGGGCTGATACTCTTGTTCTACTCAGGCACAGAGAAGCAGCTGTTATCCCTTCCCCACATGCCTGCCTAACAATCCCGCTCCCCTTCCCCTTTGTGAGGAGCCTGAGGTTGGCTTGAGGCCAGCCTGGGGCAATGTCCACAGCCCCTACATTTCAATTCATCAAGGACTCGCAGCGTTGAAAATGCCTTTCTGGGCCATCCCCTCCCTCCTTGGGAAGGCAGACGTGATGCGGGGCTCTCTCGCCTTTGTCCCGCTCCCGGGAAGCCCGAGGTGAGAGAACAGCAGGTCGGGGACGTGAGGGGGTCCCACGCTTGCCCCCTCCCCAGCGACTCTCTGGCCTCTGGTTCCCCAGAGGTCCCTGAGCCAGGACCACCACTCTGTCCTCATTCTGGGCCCTGATGATTGGGGAGGGTCTGTGGGGGTCTCTGAGGGCTAAGAAATGACCCATACCACCAGGGTCTGGCCATTTCCTGGCTCCCATTTATTCCCGTCCCTCCCCAGCACCCAGGCTTGTGACTCGCTGAGGCTGAGCTGGAAGAGGGACAGGAGATGAGCGGAGCTCGGAAGTGACCCTTGAACCCCCACTCCACAGGCCCAGCAGGAACAGGATACTGGGGGCTCCAACGTGCCTGCTCTTTAAGACTGGCCACTTCAGTCCAACCAAGCTCTGGACTGCAGAGGACTGCCTTGGGGCCCCAAGGCTGAAATATCCAGGAGTGTGACCCAACCCAGGGAGACAAACTCACAAGTTGGGCCACATGACCGCGCCCTTAGCCAGACAACAAGAACCATCCTGCCTGTCTGTTCACATGGCCTCCAGGCTGACTGATGTGGCCTCAGACCAACCGAGGGGTGGTGGGGGTCACTGGCCTGGGCCTCCCTGCCACGCATGCTCGCATCTGCTTCCAAGTGTCTCCCTGGCCAAGGCCAAGTTTGTCACTAGGGTTGGGGGACTGAAAGTTGTACCTTGTTAAGTTTCAGGGCTGCGGGGCAAGGTGCTTTCCCCCTGGCCCCTGCCTGGCCTCTGGGGACTGGAGAACTAGGACCTCTTCCCCTGTGGCCCAGCCCCCTCCTGCACCCTCGTCTCTGGTTCCGAGGTCACCATCTCCTCACGCAGATATGAGGATGCAGGGAGAGCGCATTCTTAGAGCGTCTGCCGGGAACAGCAGGCGGGGGTCCAGGAGGGGAGGCTCTGTGGGTGTACCTGCTGGCCTCTGGGCCCAGGAAGAGTGAGGCCCAGCTCCCAGGGAAGAGGGAATCTGCTCCCCTTCAATGAGCAGGAGCAAAGCGGCGTGGGGAGGGGGGTCTGGTGGGTGGGGCTCTGGGTAGGCAGAGCCCAGGGGAACTTACGGTCACTGCACTGTGAGAGAAAGAGCAACGTTTTGCAGATTTCGAAGGTGAGGTAAAGCCTCTCCAACTCTGCCATGGGGTCTTCAAGGAAGTCTCGAATGCACACATGTTTTTGAGGGAGTGGACTCTTTCTGGGGGACATGAGAAGAGGCTAGTGTAGGACGGCAATGGAGGCTAGAGGCTGGGCCACAGGGGTGGGGTGGGGGGACACCTGGCGTCTGGATCGTCAGGGTCGCCTTGAATCTCCAGAGCAGGCGGTCTCCTGTTCCCCTCAGGAAGGAGGGGCTGGACTGGGCACGGGGTCCCAAGGAGATGAGAAATGGGGGTAGGGTGCTGTTTCGAGGGCCCTGGGGGCAGGCTGAGCACCTGCACCAGCAGGTGCTTGCCAGGGAGCTCTCCAAAATGGCCTGTTAGAGACACTTGGACGTAGAGTGAATCCACCGCTAAACTCTAAGCTGAATCTACCGCTAAATCCCAAGTGGAGGAGAAAGAATCCAACCGCCAAAGCGTGCGGTGCTCCCCTCTGAGTGGAACACAGCACTATGTCCCTAAGGCGGGAATTCTCTCACCCTCTTCCTTCCTGGCAGCTCCCCTCTCAGTCGTGGGGACTCAGCAGGAACCATGTCCGCCACCCTCAAAGACTAGCGAGGTGTTTGGCAGGGAGAACCTGCTTAATAAACAGCTTTGAATGAATGAGTGAACGAATGAACAAAAAAATAGATGAGTGAATGAGTGAGGGAATGGATGAGTGAATGAATAAATGAATGAAGGAATGGAGGAGTAAATGAATGATCAAATGAATGGATGAGTAAACAAAGGAATGAATGAGTGAATGGGTGAATGAGTGAATGGGTAAATGACCGAAGGGGTGAATGAACCATGAGCAGGTCCAGGTCTGGGTACTATTCAGGCTTGTGTGTGGTTGGGGAGACGCTGGGTTGCCTGTAAGCCCCCTTTCCTCACGGTCGCCCCAGGAGTCCCTTGATTGGTGCTGAGTCAGACCTCTGCCAGTCAGATCTGATGTCTGCCTGCTATCTGTCTGGCTCTCGCCCCCTGCTGGGGTAGCGGGCCCACAGAGAGGGGGCCTGTGCTCCCCAAATCAGAGCCTGGCAAACGTCCCTCCAGGAGGCCTGGGGCGGGACAGAAAGAGGAGCTCCGAGGGCTTAGGATGTCACCTCCCCGCACCCAGCCCCCCAGCTAGGGTATCACCAGGACAGACACAGGCTGAACGACGTGGGGCCAGGTCCTGCAGTGTCACAGAGGCTCTGGCTGAGGCATGGTCATGACCACGTGGGCCCTGCGGTCGGGGGAGGTGGATGTGGGTCTGCTCTGCCCCACAGGGGCCGGTGAAGCCGGACCACGCCACCTGTCTGCGCCTTGCTGTCCACAGATGTGAAACAGGGACGTTTTACAGGTAACCCCCATGTCGGAGGGCTTGAGGACTGGGAGAGACCAAGACAGTGCCTGGCACACGGGGAGCCCTCAGCAAAGCTCACCGCCCCCGTGTCCCGTCCCTCTGCCCCGTGGGGCCCTGCCGGTGGGCTTCACCTCCTCTCTGACCATTTATGATCGCGGGGGCTGAGCACCACGGGAGGGGCGCGGGCGTGGGTGTGTGTAACGGTGAGGGTGAGCCTGTGTGCCTGTGGGCCCCTGTGTACACAGGCTAGAGGGGGGCTACTTTGCAGGACGATGCAAGCCTACTTCTGTGTCACTGGATGCCGCCCACTCCCTCAAGAACTTGAGTCCCCACGATGCCCTTCACCATCGGCGGCGCCAAGGTTGCGGGAGCTTAAGGTTGCGGGAGCTCAAGGTTGCGGGAACTCCCCGTTCACAGGGTCCCTGTCTTCCCAGAGCCCACCTGGTGCCTGGCACAGAGAAAGTGTCAGCACGTGGAGGAGGGAGGCGCAGGGAAGACTTCCTGGGGCGGACGCGCTGGCTGCAGGGAAGCTTGGGCAGAGTCCCCTCGGCTCATGGTGCCCAGGAGGGTGGGTGTCAGCCCAAGGCCACAGGGGTGCAATGCTCTTAGAACCCACCAGGCGGAGCCACATGTCCGTCTCCAGACCCACTTCTCAGGCTTCTGCTTTCGAGAACCCACATCTCAGTTCTTGGTAGCTCGGCCTGAGGGAGAGGTGCTGGCCTCCAGACTCCCGGGACGACTCTGGGCCAGAGGATGAGGAGGGCCGCCAGAGCAGGGGGAGGGACCCTCGGAGGGACCCCCCACCCCACGCCCATCCTGTTCGGGCAGCCTCCCTGCCCCTGGGCCGCGCTGACCTGTGGAGCCACGGGGCAGCCCCCGACAGGCTGGGTGAGGAGGGTGGGGCTGGCCTCCAGCTTCCTGGGCCGCCCCCCCGAGCGACTCCCCCGGGAGGGAGGCCCAGCCCAGGCCACACTCACCTTTCCAGCCCTGAAGACATCTCTTCACTAAACTCTGAGCTCTCACTACTGCCTGGAAAAGGAACACAGATGAGTGAGCGGGGCAGGCTTGCAGGAGCGGGGCGGGCTTGCAGGAGCGGGGCCACTAGAGCGGCCTGTTCTCTGCCTAGCCCAGGCCCCGAGGGGCACGGACGTGTCAGAGGGACACCGCCTGACCCCGGCGGTGTCAGTGTGGCTCGGGCTCTGCTCTGCTGCTGCTCTGCCTGACCCTCGGCCCACCCCGGCCCACGGTTCCAGGTGGGCCCTCCTCTCCCTTCCTGGCCCGCTAAGTGCTGCGGCTGCCCGCACACCAGTCCCCGGGGTCAGGACCCTTTGGACTCTGTCTTGGCCTGGCCTGGCTCCACCACTGCCCTCCTTCTGGCCCAAGGGAAACCGAGGCCAAACAGGGGCCAGACGAGCACTTCTTCCTCTAAAGGTCAGGGCTGGACTAAACGCGGGCCGCGGAGCAGCTGCCCAGCACCGGACAGAAGCCCCCACGGAGCGCCCTTTCAGAGCCCGGGGCAGTGTGCACACAGAGGGCTCGGCTTTTCCCTGGCCTGCCCCCGCAGGGCTGACTGGGACTCACCAAGGCCCAGCTTTGGCCACAAGGAAGCAGAGAGATTTTCCTTGGAGGCGCCTGGGTTGTGCCCTCTCTGCCTGGGCTGCCTGCTGGCACCACGGCCGGGCAGTGGGAGTGGGGGGGGGGGGGTCGCAGGCCCCTTGGCAGTTCCAGGACACAAGGACCAGTTCAGCCCCAAGCAGGGCACAGGCATAGAGGGCCCCGAGCTCCCAGCTCCAGCTCCAAACAGAAAAACCTGAGTGTTGGGGAACTGCCCCGCCTGGTGGCCTGCCGCCTGGACACCGGACAGCACAGCATCTGACTTGGTTTTCTGTCTTAGGACTAGCAAGGCTTGGGCTCAGGCATAGCTCTGGAAATCTCCTGGATATAAAAGAGCTGTTCTGCTGCCCAGCCCAATGCTCTTGGGCCGGCGTTTCCCAGGCGAGCTCAGAATCCCATCCCACAGGATTCTCCAAGGAGAAGGGTTCCGGCCCAGACAGTGTGGGAACCTTCGGGCTCGGCTGACTCCCGGAAGACCCACGATGCCCATCAGCACAGTAAAGTCTCTGGGAAGAGACCCGCCACCCTGGTGTAACCCAGCCTTTCCCCAACTCACAGACCCTGAACTCTTCTTCCAGCTGCACCTAGGAACCCCGGGCTACACTGTCCCAAGCTGGCGGAAACCCCTGACCGGGTCCAAGGAGGAGCACCTCCTCCCTGGACGGACAGCAGACACGGGCCTTGCTTGTCACACTTTCTAGGAAGTGGGAGCCAGGTGCCCCCTTGCGGCCACACTGCCTCAGAGACTGGCCCCATTTCACGGGATGTGAGATTCCCGCCCGATTTTCCTGCACATACCACGTACCTCTTCCTTCCCATGCGCTGGGGCCCTCCACCCTACTGGTCTCTGTCTAACCTGCTGCCAGCCCCGGGAGGGCTCCCTGTTAAGACAGACACACAGACACACAGACTACAGAAGCACAGCACACTGAAAGGACACAGCCAGCGGAGAGCACACCCGTCTGACGGCAGAAGTGACTGGGTGACCTGGACTCCACGGGGGATGGACCTGTGACCAGAGCTCAACGCCATCCTTAGCTCTGACACCACCACCTGCCATCCTGGCCCCAGCAGCTCAGCTTCTGTCTTTCTGTTGACATAAGCACCATTTCTGGCTGAAGTTCAGACATACATTTTCATCCCAGAAGGTCAATTTTTCATCCTCTTTTACTTTGGCTTCTCGGTATGAAGACAAGCGCATGGGGAGCACCCTGGGGCCGCCTTGCTGCCATCCCCAGGCAGCGTCTCCTCCTTTGCCCTGCGGGCCAGGGTTTGTGGCTCCCCAAGGATGGAGCCCCGCAAGGGCAGCAGCCACCAGGCTTTGGCAGTCGCCTGCCAAGGACTGTGGGTCTCAGGTACATGTCCGTCCCCCGTTTCTTACCCCTCTCAGGGCCACTGGCAGGATGAGGACAAACCCAAGGCCCTTTGTAAAGCCTTGGAGACTGGGAAGCAAAGGCCTCTATGGCTCTGGTGACGCCTGCGGGGAGCCCTCTCTGCAGGGGGCTGCAGGGCCCCCGGGCACTGCAGTGACGGAGACAGACACAGACACACCGGGCCGTGGCCCACCTGCTGTCGTGTGCAGGCCGGGGACGCTTACCGAGGGAGAGTCCGTTGGTGACGGCGGAGGAGGAGGCGAGGGCGAGGCCCCTGCGGGGGCTGCGGGACTCTAGGACACTGTCGTCTAGCAGGTGCCTCGCTTTCTCCGACGGGAATGTCGCGCTTTTACTCTCAACTACACTCAACTGACACATCATACTGGAAAACGGAAAGGAAGAAAGAAGGCAAAGCTCCTTATCTACGGAGCAACAGTGGTTCCACCTGCCCTAGGTGGAACCAGGGGCCTGAGCAGAATGGCACCACTGCAGGAGAAAGACCCTCACCCAGAACCGCAGTTCTATCTCCCCATGGCGTGACCTTGGGCAAGTCACATCGTTTTTCTGAGCCTCAGTTTCTCTGGCAAATGGGGACTCATGCTACTCACCCTGCCTGTCTCCCAGGATAACTGTGAGGCTCAGGTGAGCAGATGGTGCTTTCGAGTGATGAGGCCAAACAAGCAAAAAGATGGCTGACCTTGTGGTCAGCACACCTGCTTCTGGAGTCATACACCTGGTCTAAGTCCTTGCTCCAGCCTTACCCACCACTGCCAGGCGCTTCTCCTGTCGGACCTCCTGGCCTCATTCTTACAACATGAATCAGGCAGTGCCTACTCCAGAGGCCTGCAGGGGCCCAGTGAGAGGAAGGTGGACAGGCACGTGGCAGTGTATCCAGCACCGAGCAAGCTCCGAACTCTAGGAGACGCAAGCCTTTTCTCCTCCAGGCCTAGCCTGGGCTCGCTGAGGCTTGTGTCTTACTGGTAGGAAGATGAAAGGAAGGAAGGAACAGAGAGAAGGAGAGAGAGAGAGGGAGAGAGGGCAGAAGGGATCCAACTGCTCAGAGTTCTGTGCCCAACACCCAGGGGACATGCACACAGCTGCCCAGCCATGCTAAGGACCACACATGTCCCGCAGCTGTCAGCCCCATGGAGCCGGGGGAACCTGCAGCAGGCTCTGGGCTCTTCAGGCTTCCTGTAACTTTCAGCAAGTGGAGATGCTGAGCCCTGACACACAGGTGCCATGAGATACCACGTGCTCCCTGGAGGACTGTCATGGTGTTTCCTGGACTCTAGGGTTTTCTTTCCATGAGGAGACACTAACCGAGCTTGGGCAAGCCAGCTAGAAGCCCACCACTGCCTCCCTGCCCTTCCCTGCACGCCTCCTCCATCAGCTGCTGAGCCCTGGAGATCCGTCACCAGTACACGGGCGATGCAGCCACGGCCACCCCAGCCCTTCCTGAGCCCATGCCAGCCTGAGGAGGGGGCACCAGCCTGGGAGACCAAGAGTGCCCATCAGCAGCTCCCACACGGGCAGGGGAGGCCCGGGTGGGCTGGCATCCCCAGCAGCTCTTCAGCCCCGCCTCATGCTCGGTCCTGCCCCGACCCCGGCATCGGGGGCTCACGCGGTCACCCACTTGTTGCCCAGACTGTGGCTCTTCCTGTGTCTCGGGACCGGGGGCGTGGGGAGGCTGCCGGCCACAGAGGCGTCCGGACAGGTGGGCCGCCGGCTGAACCTTGCGGAACTGGAGCCGCTGGATGGACCTGGAACAGAGCACAGAGAGTGAGGCGAGGGGCTGGCGAGGCTCAGGGGAGGTGGGCTGGGTTTGGGGGGAGACCCCTGGCTCAGCTGACAGGAGGGGACAAGGTTCCCCAAGCCCTGTAGCTGTCTACCCACGAGACCCCGAGCCCTCACCCCCAGCTGCCAGGCACGTTGTGATACACATAGTAAGCCTGACAACAGGCCGTCAGGATGGCCAGCATCCTGCTGTGCACAGCGTCCCTGGCCCAACAGCCCCACTGCTCACGTGGAGGAGAGCGCCATGGATGGACGAGGGGTGGAGGCGGGGGTCTGCAGCCTGGCCTGTTTCCCCTGGGGTGGTACTTCTCCACAGCTACCCCGCTGGGGGACAGAGTTGAGCCTTAATAGTGTGACTTCTGAGTCCAGGTCCAGGGCCTGCACCCCTGTGCCCTTCCAAGGCCAGACTCTCTTCTGAAGCACATGTCCAACCAAAAGGGACGTGTGCAGGGCTCACTAGAGGCAGTGGATTAACTGGCAGGCAGGGTGTCAGACACCCAGGCCCATCCGTTATTGCCTGGGTGACCTTGAACGGGTTGCTTCCTCTCTGAGCCTGTTTCCTCACCTGAAAGGTGGGAAGAAGGCACTCACCCTGTGGGTAGCCGGGAGAGGTCTTGGGGTATCATATGCAGAGTTTCACAGTTAGTGCTCACTCTGGTTTTATTATGATAATGTTACCCTGTCCTCCTCAGCCCCAGTCATAGGGCCAATGGAAGGTCATCAAAGCCAGGGGGTTGGGGTCACAAACCCCACTGAGCAGCATGTGCTGAGAGGTTGAGCCCTTCATGTTAGCCACATTCACAGCTATTTTCTGTGGGGCGTGGTCTAGACCACTGTTGTCTCTTTAGTTTCTGTGGTTGTGATTTGGGAAGGGAGGTCTTAAGGTGTTAACCAAGCTGGGTTCTTGGACTCGAATCAACAGAAACAGATAAGAGATCAGACGAAGAATTCAGGCAAGGCTTTAATCAGACTCACAAGGGAGCAAAAACAAGCAACAGGTTCCCTTGCTTGCTCCCTGTGGGGAGGCGACTTGGTTCCTTAAATGGGGTGAGGGCAGGGGGAGATTAGTGGGTCAGGCCAGAGGAGTGGCCTAAGTGGTCTGCCCGCCCCGTGGTGCTGCACAGAGGGATCACGAGCAGTATCCTGCTCCAGGCACCTCAGAAGTGGCAGTAGGATTTTGGCCCTTTTGTATCTTATTGTTTGAAATTTGCCCCAATTGCACATGCCTGCAGTTATTTTTAGTCCCTCATAGTTTCTTTGTATCTGCTGCACAGGAGACGTTTGTCCAGGTGCAAGCACTGCAGTAAAGAGCCCCAGGTCTCAAGTCTATGTCAAAGGGAGGTGACCCCAGATGACAGCTGAGCCATAGCTACCTGGGCCAGACACTGGAAATGGGAGCCAGGGTTTCCGCAAAGGGGCTCGGTCACTTTCGGTGCAGCACATCGAATGCGGGGCAAACCAGGGGGCTACTGCCTGGCTGTGCTGGGGAACATCCTGGAGGGCCTGTGAGGCCAGAGGTCCACCCAGGGCTCCAGATCCTCCACCACAAGATGCTGCAGATCCACTAATGACCTAAGGGTCCCCGTGTCCTCCAGCAGGCTTGGCTCATTCTTATTTTGGCATCCAAAACAACGACCTTTGTCCCCAACCTGTCCACTATGGGAAGTCCAGCTTCTGGCACTTTGGAGGGTTCCCGATGCAAGGAACTCACGAAATCTCAGGTTCTGACCTCCCACTCCCAGCGATCGTCCCACCCCCCTGTGCCTCCTCCACATCCCACTCCCTGACCCCCACATCCTCTTCTTCACTCCCCTGAGGCCCCACCACTAAGCCCTGCACTAGGTCTCTGCGGTTCCCTTCAACAACTATTCCCAGGTGTCAACCCCTCCTTCAGCCCCCCTGCAAAACTATCAGACCCTCTCCCCTCCAAAATGCTGCCACTCTCCTGCCACGGAACACTGTGCCTGTTGGGTTTGGTTGCCCTCAATCGCCAAGTGCACCTCCGGTGACAACAGGCTTCCTGCCAGGCCCCCGGGGAACAGGGACCTCCGCCCCAACCTACTGTTCCCTCTGAGAATTCACTGCACCACTTCCCCTTCTCCTGCTCACTCCATTCCCCAGTTCCTGCATACACTCTTAGTTTCTCTCCTTCTGCAAAAGAAGGTCCCCTGGCCCGGCTCTCCTCCCAAGCGCCACACTTCCTCAAAAACTGGCCTGCCCCGCACTCCTCTGCCGCCCCCTCACTCACTCCCCGAGTCACTAAATCTGGTTTCCATTTCCTAATGACATTTCCATTGACCTCCTTTGGACCAAACCGTCAAGCACTCATTGGCTTCCTTGCCAGCGCCCTAGGCGGCTGACGCAGGCGACTACTCCTCATAAGCCTCTGCTTCCTGGGTGCCTGTGATGTCACTCGCTCCTGCTTCTCCCTGAGCCTCTTTGATTGCTGTCACTCGGCCTCCTCCATTGGTTCCTTATCCCCCAGTGGCTGGTATTGTCTATACAAGCCTCCCTCTTTGGCTCCTGGTTCTGATTTGATTTTAACTCAGCAGGTTGGCTGATGACTCTTAAACCTTTACTGCCATCCTTCTTTTTTTTTGTTGTTGTTTGTTTTAAAGAGCAAGGGAGCTTATGGAAATGCACAACAGTTATTTATTTTTAAAATATTTATTTAGTTACTTGGCTGCACTGGGTCTTCATTGTGGCATGTAGAATCTTTAGTTGCAGGCATGTGGAAGTTAGTTCCCTGACCAGGGGTCAAACCCAGGTCCCCTGAATGGTGAGCCCGAGGAGTCTTAGCCACTGGACCATCAGGGAAGTCTCCAGCCATCCTTTTTTTTTTTCAGCCTGAGACCTGCATTTCCTTCTGTTGGCTTGATCCCTTCATCTGAACTTTCTTAAGATATCATAAGTTCAGCCAAGGCTGAACTTGAACCCTCTTCCTGCATTTCCAGCCTTGGCTGGAGGCCCTGCTGGCCACTCAGTCACCTGGCCTGGAAGGAGCAGTCATCGGCTTCTCCCAGACTGCGACTTGCCTTTTCTCTTTTTACTCGGTTCAGTTCAGTCACTCTAGTCATGTCCAACTCTTTGCAACCCCATGGACTGCAGCACACCAGGCTTCCCTGTCCATCACCAAATCCTAGAGCCTACTCAAACTCACGTCCATTGTGCTAGTGATGCCATCCAACCATCTCATCCTCTGTCATCCCCTTCTCCTCCATACTTCAATCTTTCTCAGCATCAGGGTCTTTTCCAATGAGTCAGTTCTTCGCGTCAGGTGGCCAAAGTATTGGAGTTTCAGCTTCAGCATCAGTCCTTCCAATGAATATTCAGGATTGATTTCCTTTAGGATGGACTGGCTGGATCGCCTTGCAGTCCAAGGGACTCTCAAGAGTCTTCTCCAACACCACAGTTCAAAAGCATCAATTCTTTGGCACTCAGCTTCCTTTATAGTCCAACTCTCACATCCATACATGACTACTGGAAAAGCCATAGCTTTGACTAGATGGACCTTTGTTGGTAAAATAATATCTCTGCTTTTTAATATGCTGTCTAGGTTGGTCATAGCTTTTCTTCCAAGGAGCAAGTGTCTTTTAATTTCATGGCTGCAGTCACCATCTGCAGTGATTTTGGAGACCCCAAAAGTAAAGTCTCTTACTGTTTCCATTGTTTCCCCATCTCTTCTTACTCACCACACACAATCACCAAGACCCCTAGGTTTTGTACACCCCGTCCCTGTCCATCTCTCTTGTCACTGACTGGTCTGAGTTGCCACACTTTCTCTTCTTCCTGCAGCCAGTCTAAACTTCTCAAATCCAACCATCATACAGATTCATGAAAGTCTGATAAGTGAAAAGCCTGAAACGGTCAGGGGCATGGTGCTCAAATCCTGTTATACCTGGTCATTTCGGCTGATCTTAAAATCCTGAAGAAGAACAGGATAAAGTAGTCACAACAAATCTTGAGAAGAACAGCACAGGACTTGTCCTACCAGTTATCAGACCAAAACACAAAAGTAATTCAAACAGTCTGGTGTTGGCACGTGGACAGAGAAACTGTTCAGTGAATCAAAGTAAAAGTCTAGACTTCTTCATGGTGGTGGTGGCATTACAAGTTAAAGGGAAGGCAGGGTCTTTTCAGTACATGGGTCTAGAACTCTTAGGTTCCATGTGGGAAAAGATGAAATCATTGAGTCCTCCTACCTTACACTATGCAAGTGGATTAATGACATATATATGAAAAGCAAAAATGCCAAACTACTGGAAAGAAAAAGGAGACAACCCTTATGACCTTGGGGAAAGGAAAGAAACAAAAGGCATAAACCTTCAAGGAAAAAAAATGAGGGAAGAGAGGCTCAAGAGGAAGGGGATAAATGTATAATTATGGCTGATTTATGCTGGTGTTCGGCAGAAACACAACACTGTAAAGCAATTTTCCTCTGATTAAAAATTACATTTTAAAAAATGAAAAAATTTGATTAAACATTTGTGTACCAAATCAAGCCAATAAACAAAAGACAGGAAAAGCAACATTAGATGGCAAGGTGTAGTCTGAGAGAAGGAATATGTCACACACATCACCATCAAAGGGTTCCGGTTCAGATTTATAGAGAACTTTAAATACCAGTAAGAAAGAGATATACGCCCCAAGAAAATGGGCAAAGGAAACAAATGGGAAATTCACAAAAGAGGAAATGACCTCAGTGACCAATAACTATATGGAAAGATGCCTTATCCTCACTGGTAATAATGGGAATGCAAATTACAGTAAAATTGAAATACATTTTCAACTCACTAGATTCTTAAAAAAAAAATGATTAGCCTGATAGTATCAAATGTGAATGCTAGTTAAGGTTCATTTGTGTGTCAAATACTTGAAAAGCAATTAGCAATGCTGAGTAAAGGTGAAGATGCCATGCCTTCATGGCATCACTGTGACCCCAGCATTCCAATTCTGGGTGTCTGCC